GAGCCCTTTATAGTAGCTTTACCCGCCGCTTGCGTGGACAAGATTCTCTTTTTACTCTCTCCCACACCTCCTACTGCACTGTTCTTCTTTCGTTTCTCCCTAGCTTGCTTATCAGAAGCCGAGTAAGAAGTTTCTACATCTTGACACTCGAGAATATCGTCGTCGTCGTCGTTCCACTGGCATCTTAAAACATCACAGAAATTTTCCCACTTGTTCTCTTAGGCATACTCTCAGCCATTAAGAAGGATATCAAAGAAACTTCTGCTCAACTTGCTTATGGCACAGCATTAAGAGTACCTGCCGATCACGGAGTATAATGAAGGAGGTGAAACTGCCTAGTAGGAAAACGGGTCTACAAATATCGCGATCACTAGATGGCGCTGCTGTTGCACCTGAGCGGTTCAAAATTTAAACATTTATTGAACCGCCAGGCGGCTATGCTTCCTAACTGATGAAGAAATGCCTATGTTTATCAACGTTATAATATTCTCACTAATAATTGTATTTTATTCCTCAAATTATAAAATTAATTTATGGCTTTCCTGCTGTAAGGCTTGCAGTACTTTTTATGAACGATTAATTTGAAGATATTTTTCAGTACCCCCTAGAAAAATAATCATATTACTAGTAATAATACTTACTGTATATATGTTAAATTTAATTAGAATAGGTTCTTCGCGTCTCTCATTTTGTAAAATGCTTAGATACACAGCTTGATATAAAACTGTGGCGAAATTTTAATGAAGCTTATAGAATTTTTGCTTCAGTCAGTAAATTTTCTTTACTGTCATAATGAGTCATTCTTTATTATGAATCAGATGTCAGTTTTGGTTTTGATACTTTTATAGTTTTCTGTTAAAATTTTCCATAACTTTGTTATTTGAGATCTGAATTATGTTTCAAATCGATTTGACAAAATTTTAAAATATAATTCGGTTAAGTATTCTGAACACTTGGTTATGCTGAACTCTATATTATTCATAATTAAATATAAAGAGTATATTGAAACTAATTAAATTTATCTTTAATTTTGTCCTGCTTGGACTAACTTCTCACCAATAAATGCAGTATTTTAACTAAAAAAATAATGCAGATCTTTTGTATTTTAAAAGTACATGTGCCAAACTCTTTTCCTCCAAAGGATATGTATGCAGACAGCTGTTGGCCACGGTTAAATTAGTATATATTACTCTTATTACCTATAATGGTGTTTTTTTTTTCGAAATTAAGTGTAGTTAATAAGTTTTCAAAGTAAATCATTCTAGTATCTCATTCAATAGCCTAAAAGATGAATTTCTTATGTTTAGAAAAATTGTATCAAAGTTATAATGAGGTGATATTTTCTCGCTATTAAGTTTCAAATTGGTACATGTAGCTTTTTTGAAAAAAGATTTTGTATGTGTTATCTTTTACTGGAAGAGATCCTGTATTTTTTATTTTCATTTATTAAACTGATTATTTACTAATAGATTATAAATACATTTATTGCAAAACTACCAGTTTAATATCAGAATACCCAATGTATGCTTGCTGCAGTATTTAAAAAAATATCATTACCTATGTAAAACTAAAGTCTGTTTTCTCTTGCAGTAATTATTCTCGATTTAATATTTCTTTTTAAACGATTAAAGACTCGCAGTAAAAGAAGCAAGTTCAATTATATAACAAAAATTTAATAAAAATGTAACAGTAATTATATAAATAATCCTGAAACAATCTTAACACTATTGTTTTATATTCTCACACACAGGGGTGAGCTATAGGAGGCTAGAGTAACTCCTTTTTTAAATTTGAGTTCAATTTGCAAGCGCCTTGTTCTTTCCCACCAGCAGTTGTCCCTCGAACGGGCTGGCTGCATCGGTGTTTTAGTGGTTTTCCCCATGTGTAACGTGTATACGAGCCAGTTTCCCTTAAAAAGTCCACCACGAAGGCATCCCTCCCCTTAGGCAGATAGCCTTAGTGTGCTCTGCCATAATTAAATACACCACTACACCACCCACCAGCAGTTGAGCATCAAAAGTCGCCGAACGCTGCAAGTTCGGTCCTGGGCTCGAATCCCGGCAACAGGCTAGCTGCATAAGCATTTTCCTGGTTTTTCCATGTGAAACATATATACAAGTCAGTTTCTCTTAGAAATGAAGGTATTCCCACCCTCAGGCAGATAGCCTGCAAGTTCTTTGGTGTAATTAAATAAACCAAACCAAACCCTTTCTTTTTGTTTGTGGCTTAGAAAGTACTGCTGCTGAATATCTATATAATTATATAATAGTTCGAACTCATATGGAAAACTATTTAAGAAACCCATTTAATTGCAATTTACTCTGAAATTTTTTACGTGACTTTGGTACAAATTTTATATTTAATGATTAAAATTTAATTTGAAAATTGTAAAATTTAATTGCAGCATGTAACGCTTAAATAGTTCTACACATTCAAATTTAAAATCCTTGAGCATAATGGTTCTCACCCTGCACTGTACCAAGATTTAAATAATTTTTAATAGCCATTCATTTATGTGATTAGGTGGCATGTTATCATAATATTCATAATTTATTTAATATGCTGAATATTCCTCACCAACATAACAGCAGATAAGTGTAATGGAAAATCAATTTTTCATTACACTATGTTTTCACTCAACTATGCAAGTAAAGTTAATTTTAAGCAGTATAGTGTTCATTTCCATTTATTATAAGACCCTACTTCAAACGAAAAGGAAGGTGGAATGAGTTTATCTTCTTTTCTGTTAATTAAATAAAATGTATTGTATAATTTTAGAAATTTATTTAACTTTCTCACGATTGCCTGCTTTCATGCACGAAATGCAGATGCACATAAGTTATGCGAAATATTTAACTAATTTCCAATTTAAGTTATGTGAAATATTTAACTAATTTCCAATTTATTACTTTTAAATATGCTCTTATTTACTGTAAAGTTATATAAATTCGTCTGGCTGTGATCAGGCATGACACAAATGTAGATTACACCTTTGAAGCTCTAAATCTACTTGAATTCTTCATTCCCATGCTTTTATTCTTTTGTCTAACAGTTGTATAACCAGTGCTGCATCCAGGGACGAAACCGGTTGCATTATAAGACTTATTCATAATGGAAATTGATATCAAATCAATATTTTCGGCATTTCTGCGTATGTCAAATACTACGACAATACGAACCACTGTTGTTTGCAGCGCCCTTATAAATAATGCAATAAAAAGTGGACCATTTTTGGGAAAAGTGGTAATACCAGTTTCACCTCCTTAATTATATTCCGTGCTTAAGATCTGGTAAACGGTATAAAACGCTACGAAATTATTGTACCCTCAAACCATCCGAACCTGAGGAGGAGGGCGCTGCGATCACCGAGGCAAGCGGCTGCACATTGGCAGTGCTCTGTTAAAAAGTGTAAAACATTCCTTTCCCCTTAGTGATTATCAATTAAATTACTTTGAAATCATGTTTTTTCTCCAAAACCTACACGTTCTCAAAAGATTTTCGGCTCCGATATTGATGAGAATGAAAACAGCGGAGAATGTGAGGATATACTACGAAAGCCTGGAATTTTAAGATAAGTACCCTTCTTTCATCTAAACTAAATCAAATTTCTATAAATAAGTGCCTTTAAATCAATAAAGTTTAATTTTTTATCAGTTTTTAGCATTAAACAATATTTGAAATTGCTCATTGCTAGTGGCTTCCTTTGTGGTTGCAATTCCAAATAGACGTCAACGTTATCAGTTCACGGCTGTCACCACCTACAGAGCCCCCCCCCACCTTATCTTGTTTTGAGGAATCTCGGGAGAGGGAAAATTCGGGGCATCGCGCTACTTCCCTCTCGGATCTTCTGGATTCTCTTTTTTTTTAGATCGCTTAAATATATTTTCGCCTTTAAATAGTATTATATCTCACCGATTTTTTTCTCATAATGTTCCTTGCTATCTGTTAAATGTCCATATGTAAGGGATGGATTATTCTTCACTGCCTTAAATAAATTTTTAGAACTATGAGCTTATATAAATAACAGTGTGCCTCATTATGTTATACTAGCATTAATTAACTAGTAATAAATTATGATAGTAAAATAATTAATCTTGTAATAAATTATGATAGTTAAATTAATAAATACTATGTTTAAATTTGTGTTTTTAATACATATACTCTGTAATTTACACTCACACACACACACACACACACACACACACACGTATATATGTGTGTGTGTGTGTGATTGTGAGGTTGTGGTCTTGTATTGTATATGGTTCTATGTTGTTTGTCGGCTGTTGTTTTTTGAAAAATGCATGAAAATATTGGGAACGAAAATAGCATAAGTTACTTTAGTTAAATTAATATATACTTTTGTTTGTTGACTTTTGTTGATGTCTCAGGATGCAAGCATACATATTACTTTGTATTCCACGCTAAATACCTTGATACGAAGCATTTTAACACTGTCAATATTTTTTTCCCCTAGTATCACATCTATTCACCATTACCAGACTACACACACACACACACACACACACACACACACACACACACCTGTGTCACTACACACACACACACACACCTGTGAGACACTATTTATTGTAAATGAAGACAGCTTCTTCTCTTTTTAACTACACTCGTGGACACAATCGTATTTTAGGATATTTTCTACTCCTTTTCCTTTTCTTTCTATAGGCCCTTTTTTTCCGTCTCTTATTTTCGAGCCATTTATTTTAAACTTTATTTTGTCCCAATTTTTCTTTCTGGCCTTTCGAACTCGTACAAAATGTACGAAGTTCCTTTTTACTCTTCTCAAATACGAAATTGCTCCTCTTTCTATATGCTTGATTTTTCGCCCATCAGTGCAGAAAGACTTAGCGGGTGCAAAACAAGACATCTGTCTACTTACGTCTGTCTGTCTCCATCCGAACCTGAACTTAATTTTTTGGACTGCGGGCAGAAAGACTTAACGGATACAAAACATAACATTTGTTTCCTATGTTTGTGTGTCTGTCTGTCGGGGCGGGTTTCTCAACTGACGTTTAAAGCGGTCTGCTTTGTTAGAGGGATATATGTTGTTATATATGGAAATATGTTTTCTGAAAGAATGCCCTCATACAAGAATTGCTAGCGTGATCTTCAGTATTTGAAACTTAAAAGTATTATAACATTTTACTATAAGAATCAGCAGCATACAGAAATAATTATACTATTTATGGAAATCATGTAATGGAAGTTGGTTTTTGTTCGCTATGATCTTAGTATTAAATTTTATATAGACTGATTATATTTTGACAGTAACTTGTTGAAATTCATCTCAAGTAAATAACGAAAATCAGGTTTCTTCCTTTTCTTTTCTTGTGCGCGAACAATATTATTTGAGGTGAATCGAAGAATATTTAAGTCACACATGCAAAATGTATGTGGATTTAATTTCAGGTTCTGTTTTCCCCTCCTTTTAATACTGAGCGTTTCAAGTGTGATATGACAGTCTGAGAGTTGTCTTCCGTTTGTGTTCTAATATAATTTTGATATTAAATAAGATTCTTGAAGAAAGCAAAATGAAAGATTTGAATTTATATATTGCCATTTTCTTGATAAAAGCAGTTTCTCTTTTTATTTTTATGCATTTGACATAAGGGAATTTCATTTCTCTTTCTGTGTATGAGTGGTTCCGTTAGTGGATTCTGTTAACCACTTATCCATGGGACATATTTCAGTGTATCACGAAGAATCCAGTGATCTAGAATTTCTCGTTTTATCCTGCAACTATTCTTTCTTTTTTTTTTTTTTTTTAATCTTGCAAAATTTTGAACGAACTTATTCTATTTGTTGATTAGGAGATTAGATCAGGAGTTAAATTTACCTTATTGAAGTATTATTATTTTTTCCTCCCAACTTTCCTGGAATTCATAAAACTTTTCTTTTACTTATTTGATAAAGACGTATGAGAAAATTTTTGAGAGAACACAGAAGTCAGAAAATGTATTTTGCCCAAATTTAAGTCTTAATTTATGCAAGCCAAGCAAATTAATTTCTTTTCTGTTTACTTGAATTTTGGTTATTCTGAAATAAGTCAAAGAATTTTCAATTTAAGAGGATTTTAATTTTTAAAAATCAGTTTGTGTGAGAAAATAGGGTGAAATTTTAACTTAGGAATGCATGTAAGAAGGTAACATAACAGCAAATAACTGTCATATTCAGTGAGCTCTGGGTAAAAATTTACGGTATCCCTTGGCAAATCATTTCTTTTTTGATGCCAGGATGGGCGGCAATTTCAAGATGGCCACTACATAAAAACAAAATAAGAAGTCAAAGACTTACACAAACTCTGTGTCCATGTACATATCAACCTATTTTTACTTAAAAAAACATGAGAAAAATTACTCAATCTAGGCATTGTGCACTGCCTTAACTTTGTCCATGTACACATCGATCTGTTTTCATGTAAACAAAATCAAGAAGCTAAAACAAAGTTAAAACTATCATGGTAACCAGAAAAAATTCACTGCTGTCTTAACATACAGAGATGAACAAATAACCAAAAATACACAAACAGAGAGTAATAAACAAAATCAAGAAGCTAAAACAAAGTTAAAGCTATCATGGTAATCACAAAAAAATGCACCACTGTCTTAACACACAAAGATAAACAAATAACCAAAAATATACAAAGAGGAATAATCAACCCAAAATACATATTTCCTAACATAAAAACATTAAACAACAAATTTTGTGACAAAAAATGACACACAGAGACGAATAAATAAATGAAACATATTTTTTAACATACCTTTTTATCATGTGCATATGTTTAGGCTTTCAACAACCATCTCCTCCATCTTCCAGGTAATCAATTCAATTAATTTTTTTGTCATTTCGTCTCATCCACTGTTAATCTATATTCATCCTCTTACTCACCTCGGACATACACAAATGATGGTACCCACAGCAAAATAATAGCAAGTTCAAAATCGAAGACCATACCACGCACATGCAAGCCAACGCAGCAACTGAAAAGAATAGTAAGAAGCAAAAACCCGGTTCCATACCGAAGGGTTACTATTACAGAAAAGCGCAGCGGTCTTCCAGATTTCACAAACAACCAATATTCCGTGGTGATATTTTCAGACAAAAACTAAGGGGTACCGTACAGTAAAGATTAGCTGAGCTCTGTATCAACTTTATGAGAAATTTTTATGCTTCTGATTGTTATATGAGTAAAATTTTGAATGAATTTATTTATATTTAAAAAAAATTGATTGTTTCCCCCCTCTCTCTTTGTTTTCAAAAACTGTTAATGAATTGTAATTGTAATAGGCCACGTTTTGCTTGAGCTTTGTAATCTTGATGATTAAACCAGGGTATGGTAAAAGTAATTTTTTATTGAATTTCAGAAATTTTTCTGATAAATTTATAGATTCAATGCTGGTATATGATTGTTTTTAGCTGTGGCATGTTTAATTAAAAAAAAAAAAAACTATCTTAAAAAATACTGACCTTGTTTTACATTCTGCAGATTGTGTAAACTAAGAGGATGCTTGAACTGTTCAAATTATATTTCATCTATACTGATACAATATTACATTATTGTGGAAGAGATCTTACAATATTATATTATTGTGTTAAAAATATTTATAGATAACATGAATAGAAACATAAGAATTTAGGTAATGGAAATCTGAGCATTCGCATATGGGAAACTTTAGGCAGTATCTTGTTAATGATACAATAAAGCCCCATTCACAAGAGCAGATTCGAACGGAAGGGAAAACCGGTTTTTCCAATGTGTCCCATTCACATGGCGAACAAGCATTAACTGCTTCTCCGAATTGGAGGTAGAATTTTCCTACTTCTCGGGAGCTGGGCAAATTTTCCATTGCGATTGCGCGGTTAACATAATTTTAGTAACTGCTGGCAGGACTGTCAGCGAAACAATCGTGTTGATAGATAGATGTCTGGAAATGTGATAGCATTCCCCCCAAAATTAGACGGAACTGTTCAAGATACGGAAATTTAGGTTAATCTTTGGATTATGGTAACTTGGCGATTTTTTGGCGAAAATTTGGTGACCAACTCTGCTACAGCAACCCTCTATTTTTTTTTCGCCGCCATTTTGTCTTCACGAAGTAAAGACATGTCTCTTTTCTTTTTATTTACTGAACACTTTTTCCAACAATCTGCTATCCGAATTACACTTCTGCTAGAAATTTTATGGAACAAAACTGCTTAATCATGACAAATATTAACTGCAAAATTGGGAAAAAGTGCAGAATCGCAAACTCCTTGCCACGTTTTTCAAAACTGCACATATACACGTCGACTTATTTTACTTAAAAAAACATCCCAGAATTGCACACTCTTAACTTTATCCATCTACACTGCTATTTTCTCATAAATTACAAAAATTTGCACAAAAATGCAGGAAAATTTTGTGAATCTTTAAACTCTGTAAAAAGCACATATATGAAAGTACCTGATTGTGAAAAAGTATATACCCTTTCCAAATATGAACATTTCCACGTATAAAATAAATAAAATATCCAAAAACTTTTACCTCTAAATTATCTATTATATTATAAACGTCACCAACGAATTCATACCGCAAACATTACAAATACTTAGTGTCAAATATTTAAATTATTTCCATGCACGTTTTACTTCAACTAAAACGTATACCAAATTCCTACAAACATAAAATTCACAAAACAAACTATCATTTAATTAAAATATCACTAAACCATGTACACGTCAACTTATTTTTACTTAAAAAACATCCCAGAATTGCACAAAAATGGCATTGCGCACACTCTTCACTATATCCATGTACACTGCTTTTTTCTCATAAATTAAAAAAATTTCACGAAAATACATGACAATTTTCTCAATCTTTAAACCCGGTAAAAAAGAACATATATGAAATTACATGATCGCGAAAAAGTATTTACCCTTTACAAATATCAACATTTCCACATATAAAATAAATAGAATATCCAAAAACACCTCTAAATCATCTATTACATTCCAAAACCTTACATATAAATATAAATCCACAAATCAACTATATATCCAAAGTATTACCTTTACAAATATCTATTTCCACATATAAATAAATCATATCCAAAAATACTCGAATCATTTACAATACACGTCACCAACGAATTCATACTCAAGCATTACAAATACTTAATATCAAATATTTAAATTATTTCCATGCACGTTTATTTCAACTTAAACGTATACCAAATTCCTACAAACATATAATTCACAAAATGACTATCATTTAATTAAAATATAATTAAATTAAAAAACACTACTTAAAATATAAATAAGCACATACATTAAATTAATAAAAATTAGCTTACAATCCTAATTACTTTAAATCATTGCTAATAACAATTTTCCAATAATACCATATTACTTTATTTACTCCTTACATTTAGAACAATGCATAAAAATAATATCCTCAAATAATTAAAAATACTAACTTACCTAATCTTCTTCAGAATCTTGATTACGTGGCGGATAAACTTTTCTTATTTCCTCCGCTAAATAAAAAGCAATCGTATGTGTGCCTGTTTCAGGATCTTTAAAATCATACTTATAGTTCACAGCAAGATGTTGAAAACCTTCATCCTCCAAACAGACTTAATAAAACTTAATAAGCAATCTTTACTTCTATCTCGCACAACCTTAAAAAAACACTTATTACTACCCCTTTCAATCCCACTAAATACCCATTTCGAATTCACCTTAGATAGGGCCATGGGATTCAAAAATTAACAAACACTGTTTCACACAACACAGAATAAAGCTAAATACAAAATTTCAAGATTTCCTCCCTTTCCCGTTTAAAGAACTGTAATTCGTCCATTAATGTCACATGACATATCTCATGATCTCTTTCCCTCACAAAATAACGCGTAATCGGAACTGAGTACTTCTCACATTATTCCCAAAGTCCTAGGTAGTAACCTTTATTGCCTCCAAAATATCGCCAAACTACATGTTACCATATTCCAAAGATTAGCCGAAATTTATAAACAAATACAGGCAAGGTTATCTGATGCTGGGTATTGCAGAAATATCGTTTGAATTAAAACTAAAGTTAAGAGAAGTGCATATCGGCTTCAACGCAACAAGGGAGTTGGTACCTTTTAAATGATTTTTTTTTTAAATTTAAGAATTTTTTTTCTACTTTTTATGAATATTATTAAATGGTTGTAAGAAAAAATGATTTTAAGCTGAAGAAATTTTTTTTGTTGGTTATTTTTTTATATTCAATTTTTGAAGAAAAATTTAGCAATTAAAATGTCTTTCTTCTACAATTTTCAATGTCCCCCTTCAGATTTTTTTGTGGCATTTATTAGAGTGTTCTTAATAACTTCAAGGAACAATTTTCCAATTAATGAATTAGTTTCTGAGAAAAAAATAAAAACACATTTTTATGTAAAATCTTTGAAACGAATATGATCTCAGTCACATTTTCATTTCAAATAATTTTTCTTTTCAGTATTTTGCAAAATCCATCTTTGTTTCTATAAAGTATATAATTTTAACCCACGAAGACGCACGCTACTTTTAGCTACGCGAGGACGCGTGTCGGGCTCTGTAGGCCCGAAACTTTTTTTTTTTTACAAAACAAAAATAAAATTGCTTGTGTAATTGAAGAAAAACATTTAAATAATAAAAACAGTGTGTAAACTATAGAAACATACTTTTAATTTAATAAGTCTAATAAAACTGTATTTTAAAACAATTTTAAGTCTGAAATTATTTATCATTAACAACAAAAATTAAACTGATTTCTTTTTGAGCGCAAATGAAGTTTAGTACTAATTTATGTAATATTAAATTTTTATAGCAATAATTTCAAAATAAAAGTTACATTTCACATTTTTTTGCAAATAATCGTGCTGTGTTTACCACAAACATTTTTCTCGCACATAGCGCAGCAAATTTGTGATTTTCGGTCCGTTACGCCAAGACAGTAAACTTTTTTGCAATTTTCAATGAACTTTTCAAAGGCATATCTTATTGGAGCCAGTTTATTTATTTCTCTTCTAGAAAAGCGATCTCGTATGTCATCAAATCTCAAACATCTCAGTAGAAATAAAAACACGTTTGTTAGATATTGTTCGATGAAAAATGTCAAGCACTGTTCCGTCAGTCGCCTAAGGGTCGAGAACATTTATATGAAAAGCCTTGTGGAGTCCTTCAAAATAAAGAAGACTGATAAATGCTCGGATTTCTGTAATATTTGTGGATCGAGCATCTCTCTAAATTTCAAATTTGATGGTGATGGATTCGATATAAATGTTTGCACAATCTACTAGAATTTTTACTTTTATTTTATCCATAAGCAGTTGTCAAGAATTCATAGGGGAGGACACAAATTTTGCTTCACAAACATTTCTGAGCAATTTTCTCACAATGTTATGAGCAAGAGTTTTCACAGCAAATCTTGGTTCTTTTTTATTCCATTTTAACATTATATTTGCCAAGATAACAATTCGCTGACGGACACAAAATTACTTAATTCATTACTAGATTTATCACTTGAGTCTAGCCTCTTCAGAATTCGATTGGTGATAACTAAACTGTTCTTCACCAGCTATTTCTTTGTCCTCTTCCTTAATTGTATCTTCATCAGTTGACACTTTGGCTAATAGTTTCTGTAGTCTTTTCATTTCATCATCATAGCTCAAATAGCAAGACCTTTTTGCAACTGCCTGATCTCTTTCACAATTTTAAATGACAATGCGAGCGCGCGCCTCGGGTCTGGGAAGCCCGGTTACTCAATTTCTGAGAAAAGATGAAGGGTTAAATTCCGAAAATGCTTGTGAATGACAAGTACATGACCTTAAACGCAGCTACTGAGAAGGTCGAAAAATTTCACCAAAGGGAGAAATTTTTGTATTATGTTTTTGTAAAGACCTGGCCTCCCAGGCCCGACGCACATTCTCGCGGGTTAAATAAGCAGTAAAAATAATAAATAATTTAGTCCGTACCAGTGTATATTTTAGGACTTTAATTAAAAGGATTTATCAAAAGAATGCAAACATTTCTCAGTTTGCATTTGCAGTTTAAAGTATACAATCTGTCTAAATAGACATTAAATCATTTCAAATTTCTTTAAAGTTTATTACTGGATTTCAGTACACACACATATATATAAATAAAACCTAGTGCTACTTATTCAATTGGTAAATATAAACATAAATTACAAACATTTATTTAAAACCTTATCTGGCCAGAAAGATAGCAAAAAAAAAAAAAAAAAAAAAAAAAAAAAAACATAAAACGCAAGCAGAAATTTTTCTTTGCCTGTTTTTTTTTTTGTAAAACACATTCAAAACAGTTTTAATACATGAATTAATTATAATATTGTTGTGTGCGTATGGGTTCATAATAGATTGATAATAGTTTGTAAATGATTGCCACTGCCCTCAAATCCGATGATAGCTTAATTAAATTTATTTTTCAACAGAAACAAAGTTCTGGAATTTTCCACAGAAATACTCGTACAAGTGTTAAGAATATCACTAAGTATAATCAGTAGTTATGCTTCAAACTACTAAGAACATTAAACACAATGCAATGCGAAGCGCATCTTAAGAGAAAGCTAACGCAGAAATATCTCCAATCTCACACTGAATTAACAACTCGCAACAATAACAACTTATATAGTATAAATAATGTCATCAAAATAGTGTGGTGTAATGAGATTATTACTTTAAAACCGATGTTTCTAATTGATGCCCAATAATTTCCTTTGTCATTTTTTTAAATGCAAAAAGTTTGTTTTATAAGCTGTGAAAATTTCGGAAGTTTGTAACCAATATATTTTTAGACATGAAATTTTAAAATTAATGGGTGTCAAAAAGTCTAAAAATATGAGCGATTTTCAAAAATTCTCCCAAAATATATATTTTCAAAGAAAAAACAAATACGCAAAAAAATTTATTTAATTTTTTTTCCTCCCTCCACTGTGTCTTATGATGCAAACAGTAATGTTCTGAGATTCTCAGTTTATTTGTTAAAATTTGCAAAAAATCGTTTCAACTTTAAATTTGAAAAAAATCTAATCATCTAAAAATCAAAATCGGGACACCACATTTCCACGGGCAGTATATGTACAAAGTTTGAGTTGTATATCTTATCGGGAAGCAGTTTAAAAATGGATTACCATCTTTTAACCATAGCGACAAGCACCAAGAGTGAGCTAAATAAAAGCTTATGAAATAATAATTAAAAAGCATATATTTTTCAGGAACCATTATGAATGTTCCAGTACCAGTTACGAAAGTACCGATTGCGAAATTAACAACAGTAAACAACGTTAAAAATGTGTAAACAGTATTAGAAATAAGTTGATTCGTTGACGTGATTGTTCACAAAGGCTTAAGTGTAAAGGGAAGGAAGACGGTGGTCTTCTGAATGGGTCCTTAAGATGAAACTCTTTTATGTCCCTTTTTTCTCCTCTTGCTAACGGCAGCTGTGCGAAGGAGCATTGTATGTGAATGAGGCTTAAAATAACTAAAGGATGTATGTCATCTTTTGGTCACTGCTTAAGTGCAAGTGTCAGGTAGGTGGAACGGAAAATCGAAATACATGTACACTTACTTAATCATAAATATTAATCTGTAATTCTTTCTAGGTGGATATTAGGGAACTCAATTGTATATTAAATGAGAGCTAAATTGAATATAAATATTATATTAATTACATGCATTATATTAGGGGACTGATTATATGTTCTAAATATGTTAAAAACATATAGAAATTGATGATTTTAGTAAGAGGATGGTTATGTAATTTAAAATTATTGCTGTATTTTGATTAGATAGTTATGATATAGTTCAGTACTGTAATTAGCTGAACATTGTATGAATTTTTTATATTAGTTCCCAAAACTATACTATTAAAGGCTTGTCATAGATAGAATAATAATTCTGAATAATATATTGTTTTATTGTGTTTGTTAAGTTATTTATAACTTGTTTCCATTTGGTGACAACTTGCATTCATTATGTCATCTCTCACTGCTATCACTTGTACAGTTAAAACTGCAAATAAGAGAATGGATGTATAAATCAGTTTTATGTATCCAAAATTTTATTACTAGCTTTTAGTTCAGAATTTCAGGATCTCAGTGATGTTTCAAAAGGAGTTTTAATTCTGGATAAAACTATAATAACATTTTTTTTTCTTTTTTGTGGTAACAATATCTGTGGTAACTTTAATCATGGTAACACTATTTTAAGTACATTGAAGTTAATGTGTTGTGAAATGCAACATAATAAGTTACTGGTTTTATTGAAACAGTTCCACATTGCACTTAAAAACAGTATATTTTTTGCTGTTTTTATTCTTACAGTTATTTTCGTCATTGAGAAAAACAGGTCAATCTCTTATTTGATTGAATTTGATATTTTATTACATAAATCTCGTAAACAAATAAATATTCTGAAATATATTAAAAATGTAATATGCATAATTTGGTAACACTCTCTGCCATACTATCAGCTACATTTCTATATAAATAAAGCATTTGTTGACAGATAGGAATGTAACTAAATACATAGGAACATTCATTAGATACATAATGTTTCTAAATTAGGTACATAATGTTTCTAAATGCAAATAGGTACCCGTAGATAGTAATTTAACATTGGCAGAATTAACTCAGAATTTAATAAGGTATTTTTATTAAGTTAAAATATTGGTTGGTTTACTAATTTCTTTGAAAATGATGTTTTATGTATTTGTGATATATAGTGGTTATAGAGTAATGGCAAAACTAGTAACTTATTCAATCATTATTTTTATTCAAACTTTGTATTTTGTATTCAGGTATTTTTTCTCCTTCATTTTCAGTAAATACTGTTGAGAGTTCTAAAAAGGTGAAAAGGAACAAGACCCTTCACTTATTACATAATAGAAATGTAACATTATTATGAAAAAATGCAAATGCATATTGCTGCTGCTTCTGGAAACAAGCCTTTGCTGAAGAAAATAATTAAAATTCTTCCTTTGAAATTGCTGGAAACTAAAGATGATTTGGGAAGAACTCCTCTGATTTTATGCATTTTAAATAATAAATATGAATGTGCAACTGTTTTGCTCAAGGCTGGTGTTCAGGTTGATAATTGTGATAATGCAGGATGGACAGCACTTCACAAAGCAATTAGTTTAGTATGTATTTTTTCTTTCTTTCTTTTTTTTTTTAACTGTGTCTTAAAAACTGAAAGATGAATATTCAGGTAATAATCGCCTCCTTCCCCCAAATCTTATGGTATTTGCAATTTAACTGTTTTTTTTTTTTTTTTTTTTTTTTTTTTTTTTGTTTTGGAATATGGAAGGAAATCTTGTTCATAATTTTTATGCTTGTCTGATAACATTTTTGGATATTCCAAATTATACAATGCTTAATTCATATATAAACATGTGAATATCTGTTAGATAAGAGTAAGATATTAATGTTTTTATTTTTCTGAAATAAATATACTGTATTCTTTTTAGAAAGAGATAAGAAATGCCTGAAATTAATAATTAATATTTTATATTTAACAAACATTCTCTATCCATAAAAAGCTGTTAATAAGTATTCTAGAGCAGTGGTTCTCAACGTTTTGATTAATGCGTACCATCTAAAAAAAAAATTGAGGTTGATCTTTGGATTATGGTAACTTGGCGATTTCTTGGCGAAAATTTGGTGACCAACTCTGCTACAGCAACCTTCTATTTTTTTTTCCGCCGCCATTTTGTCTTCACGAAGTAAAGACATGTTTCTTTTCTTTTTATTTACTGAATACTTTTTCCGGCAACCTACTAGATAAATTACACTTATACTAGAAATTTTATCTAACAAAACTGCTTAATCATGACAAATATTCACTGCAAAATTGGGAAAAAGTGCACAATCGCAAACTCCTTGCGCATTTTTCACAATAACACATACACATAAACCATGTACACGTTGACTTATTTTTACTTAAAAAAACATCCCAGAATTGCACAAAAATGGCATTGCGCACACTCTTCACTATATCCATATACACTGCTTTTTTCTCGTAAATTAGAAAAATTTAACGAAAATGCATGACAATTTTCTGAATCTTTAAACCCGGTAAAAAGAACATATATGAAATTACCTTATCGCGAAAAAGTATATACCCTTTTCAAATATGGACATTTCCACGTATAAAATAAATAAAATATGCAAAAACTTTTACCTCTAAATTATCTATTATATTATAAACGTCACCAACGAATTCATACTGCAAACATTACAAATACTTAGTGTCAAATACTTAAATTATTTCCATGCACGTTTACTTCAACTAAAACGTATACCAAATTCCTACAAACATAAAATTCACAAAATAACTATCATTTAATTAAAATATCACTAAACCATGTACACGTCGACTTATTTTTACTTAAAAAAAATCCCAGAATTGCACAAAAATGGCATTGCGCACACTCTTCACTATATCCATGTACACTGGTTTTTTTCTCATAAATTAGAAAAATTTCACGAAAATGCATGAAAATACTCAATGTATACTACTCAAACATATTCCGAAATACTACAAACATATAACTCACAAAATCACGATCATTAAATTAAAATATAATTAAATTAAAAAACACTACTTAAAATATAAATAAGCACATACATTAAATTAATAAAAATTAGATTACAATCCTAATTACTTTAAACTAAATCATTGCTAATAACAATTTTCAAATAATACCACATTAATTTATTTACTCCTTACATTTAGAATAATGCATAAAAATAATATCCTCAAATGATTAAAAATACTAACTTACCTAATCTTCTTCAGAATCTTCATTACGTCGCTGCAGTACTACTGCTAATTTCTAAATCCTAAATCCAGTAGTCAACTGGAAGTCTATTCACCAAGTAATAAGAAATTAATAAAATTTCACCTATACTCAAACTACTTTCAGCAAACCACGTAGCCTTCCTTACACTCCTTTTCACAAAATGTCCATTTTCACCATATTTCTTGCACTGCCATTTAAACTTGTAATATCCTTCCTTTCACACAATCTCAACTTATTATTATTATCAGATAAACGCATTAAAAATTTAGAATTCACTTTACATAGCGCCATACAATCCGAAAATTAATCAACACTATTTCACACAACACACAATGAAGCTTTTCCAAATTAACCCCCTTTTCAGATTAAAGAACTGTAATTCGTCCATTAATGTCACGTTTCACACAACACAGAATATAGCTAAATACGAAATTTCCAGATTTCCCCCCTTTTCCGATTAAACAGCTGTAATTCGTCCATTAATGTCACATGACATATCTCATGATCTCTCATTTCCCTCACACAAAATAATGCGTAATCGGAACTGAGTGCTTCTCACATTATTACAAAAGTCCTAGGTAGTAACCTTTATCGCCTCCAAAATGTCGCCAAACTACCAGTTACCATATTCCAAAGATCAGCCAAAATTGAAAAATTTTAGTACCACCACTATATTTTACAGTGATTATTTTTCAGTTTCTCAATAGAAATATTAAAAAAATATATATTGTTATTTGTATTAAATATGCGCACATAAAAATATTAGATTAAAAATTGACTACCATTTTAATTATCAAAATTTAAGTTATAATACTTTAATCCTAAAATTTGGTGTGAAATTTGGCCCTGTTTAAGCTAGATCAATTTCTTTAAATCTGGTCTTATTTCACATAGTTTTAACCGTAAAATAGTATCCACTTTTAATTTTGTTCTCTATTTATCTTTCAAATACAACATAGAAGAAAATCCTTGTTCACACAAATAGGTTGCACAAAAAGACAATAAAATTTTAATAGCTTTATTTGAAATGCATTTAAATTCTTTTTTTGAGTTCAGCAAAAATTTAACAAGTGCATTATTTTTGAAATCTTCAGCTACAGTTCGATCACAGGAAATTTCTATCAATTGTTCTTTTTCTTCCCGAGACAAAATTTCAGGTACATTTGAAGAAAATGGATTTCTAATGCAATTTTCTTTTTCATAATCCGCGGGAAATACATGTTGAAATTATTTATCAATAAAAAACGATGATTTTTAATGTTGGATGCTAATTCTTTTATTTTCAAATTAGTTTCAGTTAGAAAACTTTCTAAATGTGGTAAAAAGCTTAAAATATTATTATACTTGTACAATTCTTTTATTAGGTCGAGCTTTTTTTATCATTGCATTTATTTTATCTCTAATGGTAAACAAATTAATGCTTTGTAATCCTAAATTTAAATTATTTAACTTTCCAAAAATATCAGCTAAATATGCTAAATGCACCAACCATAAGTCACTAAATATTTTTGCAATTCAAATTTTGAATAACTAGCTTCCAAAGCTTTTTCACTTGAAGTAACAAAACATTTTATTACTTCTTTATTTTTTTTAACTCTGATAAATTCCTCTTAAAATATTCTTCAGACTTATCCATCCTTTAAATTGATATGCTTAGATTCAATATGTAGGGATATTTAATTTTTGCATTTAATTGTTAAAAATACTTTGTTTCTTTGCATACCACCTATTTTTCTCTTGCATACCTCCAGTTGAGAACCCCTGTTCTAGAGCATTTTTCATACATGGAAACTAACATAGGAACACACACATACATAGACATACATACATACATACATATAAAAATGCAAATCAAAATTATAATTTGCTCATTTTTAATTTAGGTACTTTGTCTCTAGTAATAACTTTCTCTAAATTGCGCCATGTCTTGCTTGCTATTGCAATATTATAAAAAGTTTAAATGTACTGCAAAAAGGCACGACTAGAGTGCCAAGTGATTGTGGCCGCAGACATCAACTGGAAAATAAAAATGGAATTAAAACTGCTTCAGCTGGCAAATTTCTTAGATATTACCAAGTCAACATTATTCACATACTGTGCAATCAGAAGTCTTCCTCTTCAGTATGGATCTAAGTACGCATTAACAGTGTTCCGGCTTTTCCTTACTATTATTACATATATATATATATATATATATATATATACAGACATGCATACATACATAGAACAAGCTTAAGGAGGGGGGGGATCTTACTCCAATTAAATGTTACTTATTAAAAAAAATCTTACTTCAAATGAACTGTTTCTTATTAAAAAAATTACTGAAATGAATTATTAAAAAAAATCTGATGAAACTTATTCATGTATGTTACAAAAATTGTAAACAGGGCCACCTGCAGCACAGTGGTAAAATCGCAAATATTTGTTTCATCATGTATAATATGTATAACAGGCATTCATTCCTGACGCATGTATCTGTAGTGTACTTGGCTATAATTACCTAAACCAAAACAAACTAATTACTAGTTTAAGAGTATCTTGAAATGAGGAAAGAAACAGAAATATGATTAAGATATAGAGAGAAATAAAAGAACTTAGCAAAGATAGATACATGTAAGTACAGAAATGGGCAAACTTACCAACAACAAGCATTTCTTTTTATGGGACTATCGGTATTGCACCTTTTAGTTGAAATTTTTATGCAACACTTAGAAAATTTAGTTTTTAACTAAATTTCTTCAAAACCCATTTTTTAGAAGAGGCACTTCAATGATATCTTTGTTATATGGAGAAAGATGAACTTAAAAATATTGTTTTCATTTACTGCATAAAGTTTCCCTACCCTACAGTTTACAGTTAACGGAGAAGTAAACAATAAAATTCAATTTCTTGATCTTTTGATCTTAAGAATTGATAGCATTCTTCAAACTAGAGTATATTATAAATCAACTGGCAACTCGGCAATAATCCCACATGATTTTCTTTTTAATTTCATCCTCATAAAACAGCTGCTTTTTATTTTTATTGAGAACAAGTTAGAGAATTTTGTTATATATCTGAATTTTATGAAAACAAAAGTACATCCTACAAACTGCAACAAACAATATATATCCACTGGACTTCATTAAGCAGATTTCTGCAGTTATTTCAGGAAAATAAAGCTCTACTGATACAAGAACTAAACAGAATAAAATGTATTGAAAAATTTTTGTACTGTCCCATTACCCCACATATCACTTCTGTTTTCTAAAGTTTTGGATATGAACTTCCCATAATCATCTGGAAATTATTAAGAATGGACAAAATGGATGCCAGCACAACATATACCTCAGGTGCGT